TCTTCTGACTGAAATCTCTCCAAATAAACCTTATTGGGAGAAATTTCATAATTTTTGACAATTTAAAACAAGATAACTCAAGCCCTCACTTTGTTCAACTTTCTTACCTGGGTTGCCAAACTCAACACCTGCTGGACCAGCTCCTGTGTTTCTGATGGTTTCTTAAGAAATAGCTTAACTATGGCAGTAAGCAGAGTGAGTTGCACCTATACAGGCATAAAATGAGTTAGTTACTGTGGAGCCTTTCTGATTTTGATTAAGAGATAAAAGGTTAAAACTCAGTCAGTGTCAACAATAGCAGTCAAATGTTTATCAAGTGAAAACTTACTAGCCGCCCATCCTCAAATTGCATTTCTGATGCCAAAACTTCCTGAGCCAGATTGAATACTCATATTTCTGAAAATACATGCTAACTGATGGACATTAATCTGGTTCCTGATAAAGTCCTTTATTATTTACTTTTACCCAAAGATCCAACTTTGGGGGAACTCTGCAATCATCTGATGGCAAGAGCCAAGATAGCAGAATTATTTCAGATCACAGTCTATTAGGAGTGGGCTGCTAGACAATAAGGAGATTAGCAGCATCACCAAGGACCTTATTAGAAATGCAAATGCTTGGACCCCATGAAGACCTACTGAGTCAGAAGCTCTGGGGGTAGGGCCCAGCAACCTGTGCTTTAACAAGCTCTCCAGACTGTTTCTGATATCCACTAAAGTTTGAGAATCACTGATCTTAAGTTAAGGATATCTGGTGGTACTGTGGTTAAAGCACTGGGCTGCTAACCAAGAGGCTGGTGGTTCAAACCTACCAGCAGCTCCATGGGAGAAAGATGAAGCAGTATGTGTCCATAAATGTTTATAAACTTGGAAACCCTATAGATCAATTCTACTCTGTCTTACAGGGTTGCTATGAGTCAGAATGAATTAGATGGCAGTGGACTTGGTTTGGTTTTGGTCTAAGGTATATAGGATTGTTCCACCAAGAATCAGTAGAACTGAATAAAGTCATCCCTTTTAGGAGAAAAATGAACATACAATATATAGGTTCAAACCTACCAGCCAATCCACAGAAGGAAGACTGGGCATTCTATTTCTGTAAAGATTTACCACCTTGGAAACCCAAAAGGGGTCACTATGAGTCAGAATCAACTCAATGGCAGTGAGTTTTTTGGTTTTATATATATAAAACCGCTCTCTCTCTCTCTCTCTCTCCCAATATATATATACATATATACACACTCAAGAAATTGCCTAATCTTTATTTTCCCTGAAATATTCCTAAAGAGATCTAGGATATAGGATGTAGATAGAAGAGAACTCACCTGGGTGCTTTCATCATGAAAACCCTCCAGGAAGCTCTCCAGTAACTCATCAGCATTGTCAATTCTTTCAGCATATTCTCCCACAATCCAAATCATAGCTGCTCTGGCATCTGGCTCATCCAGCGAGTCTAAGTTCTCACATAAAGTAGCAATGATACTTTCATACCTGATATAACAAAATTGATCATCGTCACTGAAAGCAAAACTACAGGCAAGACACCCTAAATCAAACAACCAAATTTCTAAGCCTTTTAGTCAAGAAAATATACAGGCTTTTAAGCCAGAAGATTACAAATGTTTAAAAGTCTTCAATTATATGACAGTAAATACACCTTAAACTTTATAAAAACTCATCATATATTGTTTCCACAAAGAAGAAAAACCACCTGTGATATGAGATAAGACCACTACCTTGAATTTATAACAATCTATCTTATAACTAGATCAGAGAAATTCCCTTTTGTTTTTAGGACAATGGAGTCCTACAACAGTATCCAGACCACAAATAGTTAACTTCCTCCCTTAATCCATCTATCTATTTTCTTACAAAAACCTTTATGTTCTTTCCTCCGAAGGTCCCTCAGGGAGATCTGGTAGCGTAGTGCCTAAGGCACTTGACTGCTAACCAGAAAACTAGCGGTTCAAACCCATCTGCCACTCCTCGGAAGGAAGATGGGGCAATCTACTTCGGTAGTGATACTGCCTTGGAAACCCAAGGAGGGGTCTTTATGAGTCGGGTCCAACTCAATGGCACATAACAACAACAACAAGGTCCCTCATAATAGTGACTTCTTTCTCCTAAGAAACAAGTACTGATTTTTATAGGTCTCTACTTGTTCACTTCACCATGCTGAATCCATGCTGATGGCTAATATAGTTTTAAGCTACATTATAAGAATAACATTATATAGTAATTTAGAAGTAGACAACAATTGTTGTTGTTATGTGCCGTTGAGTCAGACCCGACTCATAGCGACACCTCCTTGGGTTTCCGAGGCAGTATCATTACAGAAGTAGATTGCCCAACCTTCCTTCCCAGGAGTGGCTGGTGGGTTTGAACCTCCAGCCTTCTGGTTAGCAGTCAAGTGCCTTAGGCACTATGCTA